ATATATATATATATATATATATAAATGTGCCTCTATAATTTATTATCATCAATATATCTCAGTCGCTTCCCATGCACATTAATCAATATTTTTGTGCAGTAAATCAGTGTTTTTATTTCTTAAACGAAGGTGCTCAGATAGAAGCAAGACACGCTGTATATGTGCATGTGGTCCAATGACATTTAATGTTTAGGTCTCTCTGTTACTTGATATTTTATATTATAAATGGAATATTTTACTATATCATTATGGCTTCTATTACATTGCTGCTTATTAATAAAATATTAATATACATTTACTGCTTATTAATAAAATATTAACATGTGAAAGAAACGGGAAAAAAACATGACGGTATTGTTTGTCTCTTTATTCTAATTAACGCTATTTCTTTGTTATAATTAATGCTATTCATTTTTCTGTAAATCATCTAATGTGCCAACAGTGTATATGACATTCTATTTACCCAGTCGAGAGCAGAGAGAGGTGAAATTTAATATAATATCTAATATTAGACTATTATCTAATATTAGATGTGTTATATTTAACGAATTCTAAGTGTTAAATAATAAGATTAATAGTGTTCAAGAGAATGTTACTACGTAAAATTACGAATGTTGGTACGTCTGTAGCAGCTGCCATTTATGTATTAAATTGAGAATCGAACGTTTCGTTATAGAATGATAATTATAATTAAAGTTATATTATAGTTAGAATTATAATTATAATTTATGCATATATTAGTGTGATGTATCTATCAGCATTAATGTATGCATATATGCAACTATAGGAATACATAGAGTAACACCAATTTTGGCTTATATATAATCTATTGATTATAAATTTTTATAAGTATATAAAATATATATTCATTTTTCTTTTTAAGTATTGAATATTTTACTTGGAAAGATGTTTGTCCAATAATTTACACCAATGTCAGTGAAGAATATAGCTCCCATTAACTGCCATTAATATATGTACATATATGAACATTTGTAAAAATAAAATTATTTTTAATGACCAACGATTAATGTTACATGTATTCTTACTTAGAAAATGAAGTACAATTTTGATTCAATGCTGCCGAATATACTTATATTCCAAATTATATGTATCACATATTATTATATTTAAAGTTTATATTTTTGGTCTAACAGTACCCTTGTAATTGCCTGTTGAGCTTCAACAATATCTGAACTTTCCTACAATTAATAATCGTCAATCCATTTGGACGAAGTTATGTAACTTTAGTTATAAGATGTACAAAGTTACTAAACATTCTGCTGTACAACTGTAAATGTTATAAATGGAGCTAAATATTGTAAATGAAAAGATAAATATTATAAATAGAAAGATAAATGTTATAAATGGAAAGATAAATGGAGCTATATATATTGACAATAAAATAATACAATGTATAAAAGTGAATATTTGTCAAATTATTTATCTCCTAATTTAAGCCGTGCAATTAAGTAATTCGTAAAAGTAGCGATAATACGAATGCTTTAATACTTTTTGATCAATTTATTCTAATTTTTTATTAAATGAAGTTTGAAGTCCATTAATAAGTGCAAGTCTTATAATAAATTTTCCTCGCTTTATGATAAGGAAAAAAGCAGTAATGATTAAAAATAAATAAATAAAACAATTATGATATAAAATTAGAGGTACATACTCATGAAAGATTAACATATCATCTACAAGATAAATATAAATAAATACAATTTTTTTATCTAGGGTCTTTGAATACTTATTGTTAGCCTTAAGATTAAAATAGAGAGTATTCGATGTATATTGGCAATAAGTTCCTAAATGTCGCAATATTAACAAAATAACTTACAATCGTAAAATTAAGTATTTAAGAATGTTTTTTATATATAAATCAGATTGATGTTATAATACATAATTTAAGTACAATTCTATGATTCAGAACAAATTCGCCATTAAATTATTTTCAATCACTACTCGACACTACAGATAAATTATAATCGATTTATGTATAATGGACGAAAAAGATATGTGCACACGTATGTATGTTTGTAAGATATATATAAAATTTATTATCATGAATATCACGAATGCTTTTTTAAATTCCCTTTAATAATTGCTGTTATTTTGCTAACTAAATATCATAAACTTGTATTTACGATACTTATGTATACGACTAGTATATACACAAGTTGTATGTATAACGCGATCTGTCTCGCCACATAAAACAAGCGTTATGTCGCGCGATCATTAAGGCATATTAATTGTTAATTCAGTGAAAGTTCCTCGGGTTAGCGTTATCTCATACTGGCACCTAAGAGCTAATGCACCGTGGCAGTGGACACTGGTTCGTCGTTGGACTGGTATCGCCAACGCCACCACGCCACTTTCATCCGATCCCAGATGTTGTCCCACGAGTCCATCGCAGGTCTCACGTCGAGCAGCGCGAACGTGTACTTGTCGTTGACCTTCCCGCCGTCGTAGTAATCGATAACGTATCTCACGTTCTTACCGCAGCGATCTACGATCCAATCGTGCCGGTCGAATGGCAGTTCGTACCTGAAAGCGCGACATTATTGACGTAGCGCAATGAAGACTCGTGTGACGAGTTAAAAAAATTTTTAACTCATCGGCATCAGGATTACAAGAAAGCAACGCACCCCATCCAATGGCGAATGCGCGCGCGCGGGGAGTACTTGGTCGCTTTCCCGCCGAAGCTGCGCAGCTTGGGATTGCCGCACTCTCGCGCGTGAAGGGCCTCCCACTTGAGAACCTCCAGCCAGGCCTGCTCGTTATTGGCATTGTGAATTTTGATTATGTCGTCCATGTCCTTCTGGGAGATGTCGTCGTTTTTCCACCGCCATCCCTTCCGCAGCATGGCATTCCAGAACATCTGTTGAGAGGGATATATCCAGAATTCTCCCTCCTGCCCGATCGCTTTAGGTATCGTCGACACCTGCCTGTCGGTCGGCAAAGGGAACGGCTGGTCTGGAGCAGGCTGCTGATTCGCCGGTGGCATCTAAAATCATGTCCATCCATATAATATACTAATAAAGAGGACTAAAATTTTATGAGACCCTAACAGATACATCACATAATATTCATAATGTATTCATGGACAGACGAAAGAAGTCTGGCGCGTGTCTTACCATATTTAGAGGATTTATTTCACTTTCGTCCATTTTATCTATCGGACACTCGCTGGTGTAGCTTATAGTGTTAAATTGACCCGATTTGTGCATGGGACATTCCGCTGGCGGTTCGACCTGTCTCTCCTTCGTCCCGTGAGACTCTAGCTTGGCGACTTGTTGAGACAGCGATGCTATCACGTCGGCCGCTGATACAGACGCCGCGGTAAGAGCGTTGCCCATGACTGTCCTTCCTTGCCCTGTTTTGAAAAAAAAAAAAAAAGAAGAGATACAGAGGTCTTCGTAAAAATGCATGGAGAGAAGAGGTCGTAGAGCGCGACGTGAATGACCAACGATAACGATAGACAGGAGGTAAACTGATCAAGGAATAATCGAATCGAAGCTGTTCGAATATCCGCGAAATAACCTCAAAACCGAGGGAGATTATGCAACAGCCTGAATTCTCCGTTGTCGAAACGGAACGTCGAGGTATTCGGGCAAGGAACGCAGCCACGAGGTGTCGCGAGGTATCCTTTGCGATTTCTGCCGGAATTATTAAAAGTTTTCAGTGATCGTTTCCCTCTTTCTTGAGGACTTGTTACACCGCGAGATCCTAACCTCCTCGCCCCTCCAGCCCCTCGACGCCTTTATTTCGCACATGCAGTCTCGTCGAGATTATTATGTAATTTCGTGGCAGAAATGTGAATGAAGAAATTACGCGCGAGTAGCACAGAGGAGGAGTTGAAATACCTGAATTTCTCGAACCCAAAGTAAACCGCGAACGAGCAATGCGCGAGCACGTAATTGACGGTGTGACAGAACAGCAGACGGTTTCGCTCGCGACGGTTTCACGGCGAGCCGTGAGAGGTTAGGTGACGCGCCGTGACGTCACGCTTCGATACCTCGATTCTCGCGGCACCTCGAGAATCGAGGTATCGAGAATCGCGTGACGTCGTCGTGCGCCAGCCGCCATGTTGGCTCCGTCATTTCCGGCATTGCCTTCGACGCTGCGGGACGTCGCGTCGCCGCGACGCGTAAGTAATATTCGAATCTCGCGTTCGATCTTTCGCGATCTTTGTATCCCAAAGCGTATCTCGCGCGAGGATTTTCTATCAGTTGTCTGTTTTTGTTGTAGATTGTCGAATTTAACGCTACGCAGAGAGGCAGCCTGCAAGTCGCGGATCGTCGCGGCGCTCACGCGGTTGCGATCTCGGGATCGCGGTTCGCTATAATTGCGTAGATCGCGATCGAGCTCGTCGCGGAGACGATCGGTGAGTATTTTCTCGTCGCCCGCGCGTACCTCGAGCTCCTTTTCCGGTCGAAGTATATCATGCGCGACGAGCGTGTAATCGTTATATCAGATACGCGTATATGTACATTTCGCCGTTCTGCAATAAGAGCTAGAATCGCTGCAGCATGATCGAGTGCACGCGTCTTTTCGCGATATTCGCGAATGCATGAAGCGAAACCCGCTATTTTCGTCGACACTTCGCGTATCGACGAGACATTGATGGAAAACCATAACAGATTCATATTGAATTGATTTTTTATTTGAATTTTTTGTATTTTCGTCTCTCCGCGAGTTTTTCTCTGCGATTGCATGCAAACGTTATTTCGAGCGTAAAAAATGCCAAGGAATGGACTCGGTCATTTTTCTAATTGCATACGTCGCGTACGTCGAACACCACGCATCGAGACGGCTTGCTTTGAAGCGTCCGAAATTCACGCGTATTGGCAGTTACCGACATGATCGACGCGACGCGACGCGACGCGCGACGCGATGGTAACTCGTCATTTTTTATGCGTTTTTCGTTTATATTATTTCTCGTCCGAAATACTCCACGCACGTGCGATCTAACTCGAAAAGTGTTGAATTCACAGACGAATCGACGTGGATGATGGATCTATGGATAAATCAACGCCGATGACCGAACCTGCTGACCGACCGACGCTGCCTGATGCTACAGGAACGAAAGATCACCGTGTTATGAAGCATAAGGTAATAAAGATATTAATTGTTTTTTTTTTGGTGATTGGTGGAATTAATTAATCGCTCCTCACGTTAAGTTAAAAATGTCCGTGAAAGATTTTGACACGAAAAAATGTGTCGGACTACTGATTATGATATATTAATCGTATATTAATTATAAAACTATGTGAATGGGCGACTATTTTATCAACCAAACTCCATGCGATCGTAGTATTGCGCATCCGATACACGTATATAGATCTTAAACTGTATATTATAGTTGATAATATGAACAGGCGATAGTTTTGTCAAGTTGGGTTCGTGCGATCGTAGTACACTCGTATTCTCGTAATCTGATTGAGCGAACGTTTTAATTGGAATGCATGATAGAAATTAATGATAATCATCACGAATACTTTCCGAAATATCGAAATCTATTCGAAAACACTAATCAAAATTTATCCGAAAACGTTATAAATAAGATGCTGAAATTGCTGTAATAAAAAATTATTTCAGCATTGAAATTAATGCTTTATAAACGATATTTTCGCAAACGAATTCACGTGCACAGATTGAAGTTCAATTTTTTGTAGGAAATAGGAGAAAAAAATGCAAAAGTACCGTTAAGAAAGGATGAAATAATAAACCATGGTGTTTAATGCTTTTCTTAATTAAAATAGTTATAGTGTATATACACTCACAATCAGTACTTCGGGGGCAGAGGGAGACGCAGATAATTAAACAATCTTAAATCATTTCACATTAACACATTTCGTGCGAGCTGTTGTTGACATGCGCGCACAAAATATGTGAGAAATTTAACAATTCGACAAACTCAACTTCGTTACTACAGTTACCAATACATAGTAAGCGTTATTCATAATCGGTTAACCACGACACTTTCTTTGACGCGACGGAATAAAAGGGGAAAGATTAATATCGGAACATTTCGAAATCTTTTGCGCTTGTTCAAAATTTCTTAACGTTCGTATAATATATCGATAATATCGTTGACGCTCAATGCTGCGCGGATCAAGCATCGTAAAATATGTATAAACAATTAGCCTAGAATACTGAACTACAAAATTATTATATTGTTAATAACGGCGGACGAGCCGTAAAATCTCGATTGAACATATATACGCATTTTTAAGTGGATCAATATCGATCTCGATAATTCGTTTTTTTTCTCTCTCTCTTTCTCTCTCAAAATCGGTATTCAATATTTATACGCTTTCCCGCTTTGCGCCTCTTTGTGCGAGTACTCAATCGAAGACCGATTTTGACGATGACTGGCCACTAAATAAACAATAATTCACACGGAATTTCTCCTATCGATCAGTGATGTAAAAGGCACTTTTATTTTCAGTATCTAGATGTAGATACTTCAAAAGTACACGTAATTTCAGCTAATTGAAAGCTTTATTCTCATATAATTTTGCTTATGTTCGATTATATTGTACCGTTGAATATGGAAATGTGTTTTAAAAAATTTACCTCGCGAGTAAATAATTAAAATAACGAACTTCTTCTACGAATACAGCCGTTTTCGTTGGAAAAGATATATCCAGGTACAAGCATGTAGGTATTAAAAAAAACCATACCTACACCTGAATAACTACAAGGAGATACTTGCTCCTCAATACTTTACATCACTGGTATCGATGAAGTATCGAGAGATTCGACGCGATACGAGACGTAACGAGACTGTTTTAATTCCTCGCGATCTTCGTGGACTCTTTATTACTGGTGACATGCTCCAGGTCGACCCCGTCGTATTCCAGGCCGCCCGTGCTATCGTAATACGCGTAATCGTAGTCGTTCTTCTTGCCCGATTTCGGTCGCGCGGTCGTGCTGCTGCCGCTACCGCCGTTGCTGCTGCTGCTAGGTAATCTGGTCGTCGACGTGAACGGTCTCGCGGATCCACTGACGTAGGTGGCTCCACGTGGCGTCGTCGTCGGTTGAACGGTCCTCTGAGCGTTGGAGTTAAAAGTATTCGGGTTATATGTGGTAGCGCTAGAAGCTGACCGTCTGCAATAAAGAAGAAGAACATTGCGATTAATTCTTTTTTTTTCTCTCTTATATGACATTAAAGTCTTCGTAAAATTATTTTACGAAGATGGAAAAATTTAATCGAAAGTACAGGAAATATAAATGGTGAAAGATAAATATCATAGGCTCTCGAGTATGCTACTTGTATTTTCGATAAATTATCTTCTTTCTTTAAGTAATATGTGTAATAATATATATAATATATAATTTAATTTTTAATTGATAATATTTTAACACTTATAAACTTCGTTCACGCGAATTAAGGCTGAATACGGATTTAAGCGATTCTTTGGAATAAATCTAAATTCGATGACTATTACAAGTCGGAAGTTTACCTCGGCACCGGCGTGGTGGTCCTCGGCGACTCGGCGAGATGGTTGATGCTCGCGGGACTGAAACCGATACCCTGCACGGAAGATCTCGCGAGATTGTAGCTACCCGTGCTCGTTTCGATGTAGTACGACTTGCCGCTGCTCGCGTTGTCGTAATTGTTATACTGAGTCGCCTTCTTGGGCGTTTTCGTGCTATCGTAGTACTGCGTGGATGGCTTGATCGCTTGACTCGTCTTGTCGTTATAGTATTGGCCGTTGTCGTTGCTCCTCAAGGTCTGCGCGACATTATTTTCCGCGTTCACGTATTTTTTCGTTGCCGGGCTGTAAGTCGTGGGCGCGTAACTGTTGCTCGCAAAATTGTTGGCGTAATATTTCGCGGTGGTCTGTGGAACGTCCTGAGTAGTGGACGTGGCTGATCTGTACTGACCGTTGTTGTTGGTGTTGTAATTATGGTTATTGTAATTATTATTGTTGTTGTTGTAATTAGTGTTATAAACCGTAGGCGCGGACGTGGTGGACGACTGGTAGGCGACTGGCGTGCTGCTGCTTCGCTGGATGTTGTTGTAGCTCCTCTGCTGGTAATTGGTGTAATCGCTGGTCTGATAATTGGTGCTCGGCTGAACGGTGGTGGACTGCGCGAATTGATAAGTCTGATAGCTGGTCTTCGGGCTGTAGGTGCTCGGCCTCAGCGTTGTGGATTGAGCGGAACTGCCGGTGTTCTGTTGATTGTAGTTTGCCGATTGTTGATTGTAGAGATTGTTGTACAGGTTCGTGTTGTGGACGTTGTTCGAAGTTGTCCTGGCGGTCGTGCTGGGTGACTGATAATTACTGTACGTATCCTGGTACGTCGTGGTAGGTCGATACGTGGACGACGGCGGCGGCGCGTTGTACTTTTGCGTGTTCTGGTTCCTGCTGTGGATCTCTTGAGGCCGCGCGGTCGTCGACGTGACGTGCGTCGTGGAACGTTGATTATACGCGTTGCCGTTGTAATAATTGCCGTTGTAGGTGTTCTGACTGGCCGGTGCCGACGTGGTAGACGTTGGCGAATTATAGTTGCTGCTACCGTTGCCGGTGTACGGCTGCTTCCTGCTGACCTTCCTGACGCCGCTCTTCTTCTTGGTATCCTGCTCCTCCTTGTACGACTTCTCGTTGTCGTAGTCGTCCTCCTTGTTGTTTCGATTGTAGAAATTGCCGCTACTGCTGCTTCGCAGTACTTCGCGATTGTTGTTGTAATTGTTGGACGAGGACACGCGGTTCACCGTGTTCGCGGAGGATCGAACAGCGTCGCTGGTCTCGCTGCGCTGAAGATGATCCTGCGGCTCGGCGTCGGTACGCAGGTTGTCGTAATGCACGGACTCCAGTCCGGAACCGATTCTGTACAGGTCAAAGTTGTCGCTGGCGTAGTAGAGAGTCGCGGCCTCGCAGTCCACGTCGTACCAGTCCGCGCAGGTTTGACTCTCCTGATCGAAGGCGGTATCGTTGGGACAAAGGAACCTATTAAGTAAAAAAAATAATTAAATCATTTCGCGAACTCTTAGATTAATTCTAAACCTCGTAATTTTTAACACTTTATTTGAAGTGTTTTTTTTTCTTCAATACGCGTGACGCATGAATGTCTGCTTACTCTTGATGACGAAAGATTGATATAAAAGATGAGAATTTATCCTTATCAAGACCGAAATGTAGCGCTTACTTGTAATCCTGAACAGTGCCAGCCACAGAGACGCAGACATGGAACACTTGGCAGTCGGTCTCAGGGTCCGCGTAATAGCTACCGACAATCTTGTTGCGACAGGAGAACGAGGTTTCCGGCATGAATTGCTGGGAATATCTCGGTGGTGGTCGTTGAAGGCCTAATACGCAACCCCATAATATTCCCACTGAAATACAAAACTCAGAATTTTACGGAACTGTTCGTATAATCAACATTGAACAATTAAAAAAATATATTAAAAAAGAAAAAAAAAGTACAAAAACGGTTTATAATTCATCGCGGACACCTTTATTTATTAATATTTTATTACTTATATTTCCAAATACTTATTAATATAATTAATTGCACATAAGAAATTAAAACAGCCGAATACAGTAACGGGTCATGTTCTCGTATCGATACCTTTCCATTTATCGCGAGTTGTAACTTTTTTTATTTTTTTTTTATTCTAAAAGTTATTCTCGTAAAATCTGTCATAAAAAATTCTTTATTATTGTATAATTTTGCAAATTCTCAACCTCATCGATCAATTCGTTGATATTCGTATTGCGAATGCACAACCGCGCGCTTAAAGATTCGAATAGTGAACGCGTTTTCTTGCGAATCATGAAGATAAGTAGCGATAATCCTGATGGATGTCGATGCACTTTTCTACTTGAGGGTACATCTACATAAAAAGTGAATATTCACTGTCGTATTTATAAAGATTATTTTGATTGAAAATATTGCTGATTTCTATGAGCGAAATTTTAAATAAGAAATTATTTAAATTATCAATTAAATAGAATTCTTTGAGATGTGTGTGCTAATTTTTAAATAGATAGACTACCAGAATGATAATAAATCACAATTTGATCCTTAAAAATCCTTTGAGAGATATGCTAATTTTTAAATAGACAGACTACCAAAATGGTATAGTAAATCACAAATCGATCAAAGACTTTTAATTATATAGCGATTCCCATATTCCACTTCGGCGATCGGACTCCACTCTCGTATTAATTACACGTACCCGCGATTAGGACGAGATAACGCCTCGCGGACTCCATATTTTTTCGTCGAGTCCTCTGGATTACTATCTCCTCTCCGGATTCACCCTCGGCGCTTCTCGCTACTCTTAGCTCGCACTCCTACGCGTTACCTGCGCGATCGGACTCGCGGACGCGACTGCAGCAGCGTGGAGAACGTTTGCACCCGAGAAGAGAAGAGGCCCCGATCTCCGCGCGCGCGGAGAAGATGTGCCTTCTGGGAGGATGGGGCTCCGCCGGGCGTTCGAGCTGACGAGGTAGGGGTCCCGGCCGGGGCCCCGTCGCGTTTCGCGAAGAAGAGAACGGTGCTGCTGCACAGGGGGGTCCGCCGCGGGGACGTAACGTCTCTCTCGTTACGTCACTTACGGCAACCGCGGGCTCGTTCTCGCCGAGCAGCCAACGGCGACGATGGCACGTATTATACGTGGGTATATGCACATACCGTGCGCGCGGGACTCCCGTGTAACTTACTCGTTTTTACTACCACCGCGTACATACCTAGTTGTAGGCGGCCCGATGGAAGGTGTCGGAGAAACCGCGCGCGGCGCGGGAAAGCGGGAGACATTATCGTCTCTTGGAGGAGAACCTCTCCCGCGCGCGCGCGCGCGCGCGCGCGATGCATAATAATAACGCGTAGGTGCCCCCCCTGCTATTGTGTCGCCTGTTCATCGCGCGCGGAAGAAGCTGCCCCGGCGAAAAACTGCAGCGGTTCTGTATAACTCGAGAGATTCTGTTCCCCTTTGGAAAATCGAGTCAAGGATAAGGCATAGAAGGCGGATCGGCAAGCATCACGCGCGCGCGCGCGGCTATCATTAAATTCAACGTTTCACGTCGATTCTTGTTTATACGATTACTTGGAAATACCGTTAAAAGAGAGATACAGTAGCGTGTGAGATAATCGTCCGTGACACCCGTTTTAACGACATCGAATTTTTCTGTTCGACTTCGCCCGTTGACGCAACTGCTTTCGTAGATGATGAGTTTTCGTATCGCGTTGTATATATGTAGATGGAAGAAAGTTTTGCATTGAATCACGTGTGGAGGGTGTGGCGATAGACAACATCATCGCGTGCGCCTTCAATAGAGATGAAAGAAAGAAGCCGATGTGCCCGTCAGCGACAATTATTCTAATGGAACGTCAAAGTAGTCATATTTTGTGTGAAAGGATATTCGCATTGCGCCACCGTACGGACACAGTTTCCATCTATCATTTATTCACACGCTCAATTTGTGTTTTTACAACTTTAGCCTGTTTAGACAATCTACGTATTTCAACATATTTTATATACGTGTATTCTGAGTATTTTATTTATTCTATTTGTTAGTTTTTATATTTATATTACACGGCACAAAATTACAAATGGAAATTACAAATTACATTCTGAATTAAATCGTCTAAAGATGGCTTTCAAGAAATAAATCTTGAAGTAAATACTTTCCTCACGTTTTCAAAAAAGCAAATTAAATTGTTATTAAGGCGTGTCCTCTTAATTTTTTTTATGTTGATCTACGTATGGAAAATTAGACTTATTCCATATTTTTACAGCTATATTTTTTATTTGCAAGTTAAAATATTCAGCAAATCTAAATAATTTAATTTTATATAATAGAAGATTTTTTTCTTCTTCCTTTTATTTTCTTACGAATAAAATAAAAAAAAAGTGAATATTTTGCATCTGCGCGCCTTCCGTTTCTCTTTCGATAGGAACGCTCCTCGAACGTCTCGTCTGTTAGCGCAAGTTCGGCGTGACCGGTCGTTTGATGGCCTTTGCCGGCGCGCGATCGCGACTCATTGCGCTCGTCGGAGGGTGCATCGAAGGAGTGCTCGGTTGCATTCCAGCAGTAATCCGAGGAATTACGGCGGACGGAACAGCGTGCCGAGCGTCTTCTCGTTAGAACGTTCGAATCGCCGCCGTCCATGGAGCCTCGCGGCCTCGCGGGTCATTCTGTTATTCGGGAGGGGGAGGACCGCATTCTAAGGATGTTAGATACTTGAAATAGCTGAGCGCGAAATTTGCGCCGGATAATTGCACGGGAATTGCACGGACTGAGAGAATTCTTCAGCGGCATTTAGATACCTTTGTCGAAACTCGGGGAAACTTCTCCGAGTTTATAAATCTCGGAACTTCAAAGTTAAACTTTCTCACACAGGTTTCTCTGATATTAGGTGCATAATCCCGAAACGTTAGCGACTAATTAGTATGGACGCGTCTCGCGCGCGGGTAGAAATCGTCGAAATTCGCGATCCGAGAGGTTTCATTTGCAAATGGAATTGTAGCGGTCCCGATCCTTCAATGCGATAAGGCTCACTTCCGCAGGTTGGAGCTATAAGGTAGATAGAACATGCAAAGGACTTGTCTACGAGGCAAAAGAATCACGTGGCCCGATTCACTTGCCGCCGTCGCACGAAGATCGAGGTCGTACCTCGACAATTGAAATTTCGCAATTTAGCCTGTCTTGCATCCCGCAGCGCGCCGTCGGTGCAATGCAATGTGTGTGTGTGTGTGTGTGTGTGTGTGTGTATGTGTGTGTGTGTGAGAGAGAGATAGACAGAGAGAAAGATAGAAGCAAAAAAACCCACGATATAGCTTTAGAATTAAAATCTAAAGAACATCGCGCAAAATCATCCTCGCTCTCGCTGCATTTGCGGCCATGAAATTTGTATCTCACGCGATGAATGTCTACCTAGCTTTCGAACATTAATTTTAATATATCCAATTTCGGGGCCTTTCAGTAAACATAAAATTTAAACATGCATATATTTAAATTTTTTTACTCGCTGGTGTAAACACCATTTATCTTGATTTATATACATATTCATACAAAGCAGTGATCTAATGATTTTCGTATAGCAATGTAGATAAGTTGACTTTAAATGTCTCTTGATAATAACATTCATCGAAAAACGCTGTATGTGTATATAAACGTGTGACGAGCAAATTCGCTGGAATGTTTTACGAACATGTAGCTTCCTGTAGAATCCATCATCAGGATTCAAACTCGTTTTATTCTGTTTCTCGTCGATTTACGTGATATCTATTAGTCATTAGAGGCCCGTTTCGACATCGACCCATGTACGTATACGTGGCCTCGTAACGGGGCAATTAACGAATCGGGCATTATATTTTTCAATCGACTGTCCGTCCGTTTCTATTACGCGCGCCACGATGAGCTCCACGCCGCGAGGAATCTTCTCAGCCTTGGAGGGCGAAAGTTGTCTTCGGTTCGCTCGTAGATGGAACGATATTTGCACCTACAGAGAGGCGATTCTCGTCGTCGTACGATAGTGGGCGTAAAAGAACTTCCATTCGGTGTTATTCTACGGCCGCTTGTTTGTGGCGAGCGCGATCGTGTGCGAGATTTCGCGTTCGATAAAAACGAATGATAGGGAAGGGTCCTTTAGAGTCGCAGGTGACGATACACGACGATAATAACGGTGACGTCTGGACGTCACCAATTACGGTCTTTATCCTCTCGCGAATCGTTTCTCACTTCATTTTACATTATACGTCGCATTAAGAGGCCAACCTGTGAGAACTGAAATAAGCGACTTTTAAAAACTCGATGCAGCGTTCTGAAAATTCGAGAAATTTGATCGCGGTGAGAACAAGATATTTTTTAATTTAACATTTAAAATATCAGAATACTAAGGTTCGCCTTGAGAAAATGTAAATCTTAATAATTCATTTATAATAGGTATATAAAGCAAGATCTATGATTTTGTTGTAAGTAGGTATATAGGTATCATTTGAGAGAAAAAGTTTTACATATAATTTACCGAATCTTTTTTAACATTTGTTGAATCTTTGCATAATGGGATATATCCACTAATTCCGTGTTTATTGTAAATGCGTGGGATACACTCCTTGAGAGAAATCGTTCATAAAGTTCTTCCGTTTTAGAAATTCATTCCAGAAATAATCTCGCACGTATCAGACATTAGTCAAGATTTTTGTGAGATTCAATTATTAACTAATTCTGACTCGAAATTTTACATCAATTTACCTCGAATCTCCCCGCGTATGCTTCGTTCTCTCGGCAAGCAGTAACCCGCAAGGAGCCTGTGCCCTAGGCTACCGCGTGACGTGATATTTGCTTCCCGGAGTAATCTTACACGTAGGAGTCATTAGTCTCGCCGCTAAGGAACATAAATTCTCCCTCATTAAGTACATGTAGAATAATTTCCCGAGTCCGTGGCAATTAGGAAAACCTACTGGACGGATCCCCTTATCGTCTTCACTCGCGCGATCTTCTCTCGCGAGTTTCCGTTGATAATTAAGTATATTAAACTTTGCGTCTCTCGTTCTCTCTCTCTCTCTCTCTCTCTCTCTCTTTTCTAACTTCTAACTACCATTTAAATGCCAGACTTACCGATATTGTATCATTGGTTGAATTTCAAAGAGCATGACAATTCCTGCGGCAGACTGCCGGCATGCTCGCGGAGAAAGCGCGGAAGGTCAAAGGTTCCAGTGAACTATTTTTTCCGCGGCGCGGCATCGTTGGCCTGGTACTTTCGCGAAGTACGGATGCGCAGCATCCGATTATCTTGATTATAATCGAACATCCTTGGAAACAATTTTATTTCATCTCATCCGCTTTCTCCGAAGTTGTTATAGAATTGTTTAAAGTAAAAATGTACATTTTTCGAAAAACAACATGGGTTTTTATTTGATCAATCTTTGTCCTGAGGAAACGTTATCTCTTTCAAGCAACGCTGGTCCATTCATTAGTTCGTGCCGTGTCGAAAAATTCTACTCAGGACATAGGGATTTTTCAGACACGATTGTTGCGATTCTCGATACCTTTCTCCTCTAAAAATACATTACGTTGCGCAAACAGACACGCGTTTCCGTTCGCGCTCGACTCTATAACTCTCGTGTTTCACGATTGTCGACCGGCACTGCGAACAAGGAGTTAGGTATCCGCCGCAAGGATTTCTTACTTAAGCGGATGCAAAAAGGTGCTAAGCGTATGCGAATACATCTGACTTCCGTCAGGCGCACACGATACGTGTGCATGCGATCCGGCGTGCGGATCTTCCGCGCCGGGTTAGCCTTGAGATACGGCCAATAACCAAGTTCCCCGTTTTTCCAAACTGCCGGCCGCCTCCCCGCTCTTTGCCTCCCCCTCCCCGCCCCCCCTCTGTCACGCACTCCGATTCCAGATAGTGAAAGTGTAGAGATTTTTGTCA